GTGTGCGCTTGCCCCCCCCCCCCCCCCCCCCCCCCCCAATCTCTGTAATGGAGGGGGTGGATCTGGGATCGACTGGTCAGCCCGAGGATCCCCAGTCCCACTCTGGGATTGCCTCCCTAGCCTGGCCTACAACTCTCTCCCCCCACCTATGAGTCCCCATCATTGTGACAGAATCTGGGATCAACTCATCAGCCTCAGTTCCCCAGTCTTATTCTGGGTTTGGCTGGCTGATCTGGTCCCTCCCACCCCTGCTCCTTTTGTCTCTATTCCTGACCCCCCAACCCCACCCATATTGGTGTTTCTCACACCTGACCTGCAGTGCTCCACATGGCCCCAAGGTGCCCCTCACTCCTGACCCATAATGAATTCTACTCGGGCCATGGATCCACAGAGGGAGGTGGGGCACCCAGATGTCTGGGATCCCCTCCATGAACCCAGGTACCTGGGTTCACTGGGGGACCTGGATGCCTGAGTCCACCAGAGCCTGAGAGGCCCAGATGTCTGGGTTCATGGAATGTGGGGAATGGCTGGGGGACCTGGATACCTGTGTCCCCATAGCTTCACGGTGCCCCTCACTCCTACCCCACAGCCTCCTGACTCTGCCCTTATTGCTGCAGTTTCCCTGAGTGCCCAGCCCGGCTGACATCCATCTGGACCAAGCTGGTGGAAGATGGATTGGTGGAGAGGTGTGTCCCTGTGCAGGTGAGTCAGATGCCTGTGTTCTCTGGGAGTGGAGGAGAGGCTGCAGGTGAGAGTGGTGGGGTAGGGAGGATGAGAACTCAGACTGGGAGGGGTGTGGGGCTGGGAGCGTGGATGCCTGGGGGTTTTTTTAGGGCTATCTCTTTGCAGGCCAGACTGGCTACGGAAGAGGAGATTCTGCTGGTACACAGGTGAGAGAGTTACTGGGGGTGAGGGGCACTGCAGGTCCATGGGTTGGGGGGGGGGTTGCAGGTTGGGAGTAAGGAGGGGAGTGAGGGGCACCATGACCCCCTCCTCACTTTGCAGCCCCCAGTTCCTGGCCCTCATGGCCTCAACCGCCGACATGGAAGAGGGTAAACTCCGCGCCCTCTCAGACACTTACGATTCAGTTTATTTGCATCCGGTAAGCCCCAGATTTTGGGGGCGGGGGGCTGGAAGCCCAGATGCCTGGGTTCTCTGGCAGGAGAGGTGGGTGAAAGCAGGGAGGGCTAGGCACCTCGATGCCTGAGTCCCTCACCATCCCCACCCCTGCAGAATTCATACCACTGTGCGCGGCTGGCAGCCGGCACTGTCCTGGCTGTGGTTGACAAGGTGCTGAGTGGGGAGCTGAGGAATGGGCTGGCGCTGATCCGGTAAGACGGGCTAGTGAGGTCTGGGGGGTGGGGCTAAGGGGAGGGGAAAAGGGACTGGGGGTGGGGCCTGAGTTCTAAGGGTGGGGGGTTGTAGGGGTTGGACTTAGGGGCCCAAGAGGACAGGCCGAGCAGGGGAGGGGTGGGATGAAGCACCTGGGGGGGTTGAGGAAACTGAAAAGTGGGGCTAGGGGTAAGAGGGCAGGGCTAGGGGAGCTTGGGTGAGGTACTGGCAGGAGGGCAGCCATTGGGGCTGCAGGGGGAGCCAACACTGGAGGTGGAGTGGGTTAGGGTGGGGCTAGGGGGTGTGGCTAAGGGGCTGGAGTGGGACTACAAGGGCTAGAGAGAGGCATGGGCAAGACAAAGTGGGAGGGGCTGAGGGTAGAGCCAAGGGTGAGGCAGGGGGCAGGGCTACAAAGGAGGGCTTGGGGGCTATTGTTTGGGGATGGGGCTTGGACCTTGGACCTAGAGCAGGCTTGTCCAACATGCAGCCTGCCAAGGTATTTTCTGAAGCCCGCTGTGCAGTGATGGGAAACTAAAGTAAACACGATTTACTTTCGTTCCCACGCCTTGTCCGTCCCCCAGCCCCTCAGCAGCTTCATAATGGTTGCTGAAGGGCTAGGGAAGGGACAAGGTTTCCACATGCACCGCATCAGCTTGATGTTGCCGACATGGTGCGTGTGGGAAGAGGAGTAGCCATGTGCCTCTCGGGACAGGATGAGCCCAGCAGGGGGCTCAGCTGCACTTTCCCCCTACCTGCGCTGGTCAGTCCCAAGCAGCACACGGCTCCACCGCTGCCTCTGCTGGCTGGTGCCGACCCGGGCGGGTCTGTCCCATCCAGAGCAGCATGCAGCTGAAGCCTGATTCCCACGTGCTGCTGGGGACCGGAGGAGGAGCCCGGCTGGGTCGCCCCAGCCAGCAGAACGGGCGGCAGAACCATGTGCCGCTTGGGACTGACCGGTGCAGGCAGGGGGAAAATGTAGCTGAGCTCCTGCTGCTCCAGCTGGGCTCGTCCCATCCCAAGCGGCACACAGCTCTGCTGCCGCTTCTGCTGGCCAGTGCAGACCTGGCCGGGTTCCCCCCATCCCTCGAAGCACATGGGAAGCCGGCTTCAGTTGCATGCTGCTTTTCCTGGCCGGTGCCGACCTGGTTCTGCCCAGGTGGGTCTTGTAGCACCATGTCAACCCGGGCATGGCACCAGCAGGCCGGGTGGGCCCCCGGTTAACC